GTGATGTAAACCTGACAGGAGTAACTGCCCTGCAGCCTTGGACCCCTCACATGGGGCGCGAGGATCGTGTGGCCTCTCCTCGCTGCTGGTTCCCCGAGTGGGTGCTGGGAGCGTGGCTGTCAGAGCCCTCGTGCTGCTGGTCGGGTCAGGGAGGGGAGGTGCCAGCACCTGCACCTGCAGGCTTCCTGGTGCTCTGAGGCCTGCTTTCACGGGCGACAATCACAGACCCGTGCGAGGGGGGCTGGGCCCGGGCACACCTGCTGTTTCTCTCACCTACTGGCTGGGGGCCACACGTCCACATCAGCCGCTCGGCTCTCTGACAGGGCAGTGAGATCTGATGAACACTAAGAGCTGTTCCTAATGAGCCTTGGTTTACATGCAGGGAGTCATGAAACAGGCCCAGAAACTCCCTCGCCTGCTGTTTCCTTAGGCTTCTGGTGACGTTGCCTTGGGAAGCCAGGGCAATGTGGAGCTTTGCCCGGAGGCTTTGTGAACACACAGAAAACATCAGGATCAGAGTGTGGTTCGGTTACTATAAATTAGTTGATAGCCTGCTGTTATTTTCTTCAATAAAACAGATCTTCCCATAAAAGTAGTCTATGTAGAATGTAGGGGTGTGTGTGTGTGTGTGTGTGCGCGCGCGCATGAATATCTGTGCGTGTTTGTGTGTGTGCATGTGTGTATATCTGTGTGCATCTGTGCATGTATATCTCCATGCACATGTGTGTATATATGTGCATGTGTATCTGTGCATGTACCTGTGTGTACACATATGTGTGTCTGTGCATGTGCGTGTGTCTGTGCATGTATGTGTCTGCACACGTATGTGTCTGAGTATGTTGTGCATATGTATATGTAGGTGTGTGCATGTGTGTATCTGTGAGTCATGTGTGCACATGTGTGTATGTATATGAAGGTGTGTGTGCTGTGTGTCTGAGTGTACACATGCCAGTGTATCTGTGCATGTATGTGTCTGTGCATGTGCGTATGCTCGTGTGTCTGTGTGTGTGTGTATGTGTGCCAGTGTGTCTGAGTGTGTGCATGTGTGTGTCTCTGTGTGCACATGCCTGTGTGTATGTGTGTGTGACTCTCTGTCCAGTTTTTAGACTGGGTCCCTGTCGGCACCTGCCACACCTCAGCTACACTTCCTTCTGCCCACAGCAGGCTATCCGAGGCAGGCACAACATACGGGGTGGGCTAGGATTTTTTTTTTTTAAGATTTTATTTATCCACGACGAGAGAGAGAGAGAGAGAGAGAGACAGAGACAGAGACACAGGCAGAGGGAGAAGCAGGCTCCATGCAGGGAGCCCGATGTGGATCTCAATTCTGGGTCTCCAGTATCACACCCTGGGCCGAAGGCACTAAATCGCCGAGCTACCGGGGCTGCCCTGTGCTAGGACTTTTAATCATATCTGTGTTTGTCTCTTGCAGAAGCCCTATGCAACTCACATTTACCTTAGCTCTTTGATGGCATTCCAATAGGTCCGACGTTAGAAATGTCCTTTTTTCTGACCGAAGTAGACAGGACTAGAGCTAGCACCATTGCTTTCACGTTCGAGCTGCCATCAGTACCTCGACAGAACTTTTTGGGATGTTTTGTGGAAACAAATCCTCCCTCTGCCTTAGCAATGCCTACATTCATCAGCAGACCAAGAGGATCTCAGCACAGTGTCGGGCGGTGTGTCCTGGGCAGGTTGCACTCAGATTGGTAAAGGGGACTTGGTGACGGCTTCACAATGGTCTGTTTTGATGCATTGATACATGTGGTTATCCATGATCGTGCAGATGGTTGTGATCAGTTTTCGTGTATAAATGCTGTCAAAACTGAGTACTTTAATATATTCTTGCAATAGTTTGCAGTGTATCTAATTTTTTTCCTGTATGACTTGGCAACCCCAATTATGTACTAACGGTTTTCCTGTTATAATTTGTTTCTATCTCTCTGCATTTAAAATGATAATACTCGTTTAAAAGGGATACTCTGTTTCTTCCCCCACCAGCCCTAGAGTGCTCTGGTCGAGTGCTCTGGCCAAGACTTACAACACAGCTGCCCTAGCTGACCTGCGCTGGATGGGCGGACGGGGTGCCTTGCCCTTCCTGCTGGTCTTTTATCACAGCACATCCACCTATATTAAGGAGGGAAAAAGAATGTTCTATTTATGTAAAGAGCTTTGCAGCACAGAATCCTTAATTTTTCTCAGAGTCTGGCCTTCAAAATTATGGGTGGATAAAATATTACAACCTTTGAAACACAGTGTCTGCCTTCATTGGATGCCAATACAAATAAAAGGCATGTCACTCGTAGGGCCAGCATTTCTGTGGCCACCGCCCCAGGAGAGCGTGCCTGCTTTGTCTGGTAGCCTCTGCTCATCCAGCTCCCCTGTTCTGAGGCCAGCCTGGTCCGTGCTAGGCCTGCACTGGGCCACGAGCTGCCGCCGCGAGGTCTGTCTGGACCTCAGAGATCACACAGCACCAGGCTCAAATCAGACCGAGTCACCAACCAGAAAACGTTCAGTCTCGCCTCTCATCTCGCTGTGCTTATTACCTGGATTTCTGTAAAGAGAGGTGTTTGATTTAGCCCGAGCGTGTATACGCTCACCATGCGAGGGTTTAAAGTTAAGGACACAGGGGACGTGTCGGCTACCCAGGATCACCAGGGACATGGCACCGTAGTGAATCACTTGTTAGAAAGGTGGATCTCACGTGGAGTGTTCTGACTGCAGTAAAACAAGTAACAAACTTGGGGATCCCTGGGTGGCTCAGAGCGGTTTAGCGCCTGCCTTTGGCTCAGGGTGTGATCTTGGAGTCCTGGGATCCAGTCCTATGTGGGGCTCCAGGCATGGAGCCTGCTTCTCCCTCCTCCTGTGTCTCTGCCTCTCTCTCTCTCTCTCTCTCTCATCTCTATATAAATAAATAAATAAATAAATAAATCTTAAAAAGAAAACAAGTAACAAACTAAAGAGAACAAAAGGAGGTGTTACTACTTTGGGGTGAAATTTCTGGTGTTTTTGCATGTTTGAGTAGAGTTGATCTGGTGGGCTGCCTTCCAGACTCTTCTCCATGGAAAAGGGCCTGATTTAGAATATCTACAGGTGGTGTAGGCACACGGCACTTTTATTTTTGAGGGATGGCTGACACAGACTGCAGATTCGTGCTGCTGTCTCGTTCCCTGTGGCTACACGGTCAGCAATGTGCCAGATGAAAACTTGGAATTTAATCTTGTGTCCGATGTGAGGGCTGCCTGTTAGAGGACTAGCCGAGCGGCGGTGAGTGCAAAGTCTTTGAAGGAAGGCATTCAAACCAGGAATAAGGTCCACAAGCTGTTTGGAAAGTTTATGCTTTCTGGCATGTTCGATGACGGTTCAAATATTAGATACGATTTGTGATTCCATCTGTGCGCTGGTGGGGACCTTGCAAGCTGGAGGTCGTATCACTTTTCCTTTTAGACAGTCAAACCACAGGTTATACTAAAAAAACGAGGACAGAAGTCCAGCAAAGCAGTGATTTGTCCTCAGCTAAAACACAGACTGCATTAAAACCACATGTTGCTGAGTGCTGGCTGGCCAGGCCAAAATGTAGATCGGGATGTGAGCCCCGGATGAAAGACCATTTTCTGCAGTGTACAAGCCCTTAATGCACGGAGTGGCCTGCAACCACGGCTTCACGCAAGCCTGAGACAAGGATGTTCCACGCAGGGTCTATATTCAGCACAAGGACGCCGCTGGAGCTGTGGCCGCGGCCCAGGGCCCTGGAGCGGGTGCCCAGATGGCACACTGTCATAGCCAGCCAGCCGTTTCTACTACCAGGCAATCAAGTCACCATCTAAAGACGTTGGCCAGGGGACACGTTTGAAGAAGCATCTCTCCGAGTCCAGAGGGCCTTTAAGATCTAGACAACTTGTTATTTAAATCTGGAAACACTTTAGAAAAATTGGGAAAGCCATTCTTTTCAAGTCTTAAAACTCAAATGAGCTCCATCATAGGATGGCCTGAGGAAGGGAAACAAACTCGCGGTGGCGTTCTGGGGCGAGAGGCCCGTGGTGGACACACAGGGGGCCCCAGGGGCTCACAGCTCCACGCCCTTCACTGGAGGCCTGGTGCCTGCAGCGGGCGTCACCAAATGTACCTCATGGTCCCAGACATCTTAGGCCCGTGGGCGCAGGCTGTGGGGATGGCAGAGGGGCCTCGCTCCCATGCCAGTGCATCCCTCATACACACACACATCTCCTTGTTTGGTTTGAGGGTCTGGGTCCTGTCCCTGAACTCTTCATGTGCAGAGAGATTGGACACACTCACATGTGGGTAGACTCTTCCTTTTTTATGAACGTGTTTGGTTCCAGGAGATAGCTCCCTAAGGAGCGGTAGGAACGGAGCCCTTTTTGTTGAATTCTGTAATAGAGATGTTAACACAAATGCCTGAAAGTGTAGGACAGAGAGGATGGAGTGCTGAGGATATTTGATTTTTTATCTGACTTATCGTCAGATTTTCTACTTGCAGGTGGAAGGGGCAGGACCTCAGTATCGCTTTGAGACCCTATGACTGGGTGACACAGACACGAGGGCAACTCTGGTCTCCTGGCCAAGGGGGTCTTCAGAAGGGGCTGGTCCCCTGGGCCTGCAGCTTTGGGCTGGAACAGCACAGGCCAGAGGGCACTGGGTCAGCCCCTAGCAGGACTTCTGGACCTGGCCCCTGGGTGTGTCCTCACCTGGTGCACTCACACACCCAGGCCCACAGCGAGCGCGTGTGCAGCTGCCACACCACAGCAGGCGCTTCTTCACTCTCCAGGGAGCGCGTCCACCTTGAGGCAGGATGGCCCAGCGGCCTTCTCCCAGCCGCCCTGGCCTTGCTTACTCCGTGTAGACCACACCCCGCTCTTCCTACTGTGCAGGCCCACCTTCCTCGGGGAGCCCTCCGGCCTGCACCCTGCACGCCACGGGGGCTCCAGCACATGTGTCCCCCAGTCGCATGAGTGCCGCCTCTGATCTGCTCTCTCCTGCAGATGTATCCAGGTGTGTGGCCGAGAGGAAGTACACGCAGGAGCAGGCCCGGAAGGAGCTACAGCAGGTGTTCATCCCGGAATGCAACGACGACGGCACCTACAGCCAGGTGACCGCGCGCCCCGGGGCCTCTGTGTCCAAGCAGCAGGGTGGGGGGCTGCGGGAGGGGGCCGGGGCTCCACCGGGAGAGGGCCCCACGCATGTGCCCCTTGGTCCCGGTCCTGAGGGTGGCGGTGCTAACCATCCTAGCCCTCAGTAGAGAAACAAAGTAGGATCTGCTGGGAGCCTCCCATAAGGACCGAATTGTGTGTGTGTGTACAACAATCACCCCTCGGCCTTTGGGAGCCTGAGGGAGGAGGGCAGGAGACGGAGAAGCGGGCGGAGGTGGCTGCAGCAGGAAGGGTCCTCTCTGGCCAGTTGGTGTGGATGGGGCCAGGGGCAGGAGGAATGCTGGGGGGGAGGGATGCCAGAGAGACCCTGAGAGGGAAGGATACTAGAGAGACCCTGGGAGGGAGGGATGCAGGGGAGACCCTGGGAGGGAGGGAGATGCAGGGGAGACCCTGGGAGGGAGAGATGCTGGGGAGACCTTGGGAGGGAAGGATACTACAGACACTCTGGAGGGAGAGATGCTGGGGAGACCCTGGGAGGGAGGGATGCAGGGGAGACCCTGGGATGGAGGGATGCCGGGGAGACCATGGGACGGAGGGATGCCGGGGAGATCTTGGGAGGGAAGGATACTACAGACACTCTGGAGGGAGAGATGCTGGGGAGACCCTGGGAGGGAGGGATGCAGGGGAGACCCTGGGATGGAGGGATGCCGGGGAGACCATGGGACGGAGGGATGCCGGGGAGAGCCTGGGACAGAGGGATACTAAGGAGACCCTGGGATGGAGGGATGCCGGGGAGACCCTGGGAGGGAAGGATACTAGAGACACCCTGGAAGGGAAGGATAACAGGGAGACCCTGGGAGGGAGGGGTGCCAGGGAGACCCTGGGAGGAAGGGATGCCAGGGAGACACTGGGGGGCAGGAAGGATGCCGGGGAGACCCTGGGGGGATTGGGTGCTAGGGAGATCCTGGTGGGGGAGGGATGCTAGGGAGACCCTGGTGGGGGCAGGAAGGATGCTGGGGAGGCCCTGGGTGGGTGGAGCAATGCTGGGGAGACTCCCCCAGGAGACCCCAAGGGGAGGGAGTGATGCGGTCCCCTCTCCTTACTTCTGCTGCAGCAGAGCAGGGGCTGCTGAGCGTGTCTCTGGAGTCCCTGGGGCCCAGCCTCTTGCCTTGCCATGAGACGTGGCTCTAGCTCAGACAGGTGAGCATCCTGGACAGCAGAGTGGCCAGTGCACTGGCACGCAGCACAAGTGCTGTGGTGGTGCTCTCTAAAGTCCCGGGGCCTGGGGCCACCCCGTGTCTCACTGAGTGATGCAGCGAGGTGAGAGGTGCGTGGCCCAGCAGTGCTGTCAAGCTCACCTCCCTGTTCTGCTGTCCCCCAGGTGCAGTGTCACAGCTACACCGGATACTGTTGGTGCGTCACACCCAACGGGAGGCCAGTCAGCGGCACAGCCGTGGCCCACAAGACACCCCGGTGCCCTGGTAGGTCCACAAACAGGCCGGCTGGCCTGCTACTGACAACTGGCCACTGTCATTCTGGTCACCCACCCGTGTCTGCTCACAATGCACAAGAAATCCAGTGCCGGTGGTTGTGAGGCGTCACAGGCATTGGGTTTGTGTCTCTGGACAAAGCCTAAAATACAGTAGAAAAATGTTTTTAAGACTCCTTTACCAATGGAAACTCTGGCCTGAACTATGATAGGTTCTTTGATTCGGGACTTAGTGTTTTAGGAATGACCCCAAGGACTAGAGTCAGTGGTGAAAATGACCACATGTTTCCTCTGCCAAAAAAAAAAAAAAAAAAGGAAAAAAAAAGAAAAAGAAAAGTTATGTTTTTATATGTATATGTTTGAAAAGAAAAAGAGGGCCATTCCCTGTAAGTCCATTTCCAGACAGTTTGTGTTCTTTTATTACTCAGAAGGAGACTTGATCCACCGAAAGTGAAAATACTGTCAGGAGTATAGACTGTGAAATAGTCCATCTTCCTTTACTCTTTTACCCCAAATGATATAAATGATTATGATCATTTTTGGTGGAGACTGTTTTACAGCTTGACTTGTGACTAATTGGCTGGGGGACGGATCAGACCACCTGTGAAGGGGCTTCATGGTCTCTGCATCAAGGCTCCTAGAGTGGACTTAGTACAACGGTCAGGGAAGCACAACGTGTTCCTGATTTTTCATGTAAAATATTGAAACATTTGCACTTAGGATTTACTTCTAGACTTTTTTTTTTTTTTTTTTTAAGGTCAGACATCTTATAATTAGGAATTCTGTTCATGATTCAGACGTTTACGCCAGGAGCCAAGGCACAGGCCAGAATGCCTAAGTGCTTCAGCATGATGACATCTGTAATTAACAGTAACACGAAACCTAATATTTCCAGCGACTGGTCATCACTTAAAAGCCACAGGGTGTGCATAACGTGAAATTAAAACATATTTATTTAAAAAAAAACTATCTTGTTATCCAAGAGCTAAAAATTGCTGACAAATATTTTTAGTGAGCTAACATTTGCACCTAATAATTCTTTTACGAACTCATGGAATAAATGAGAGAAAGAGGAAAATTAACACATGCTATTTGCCTCTGCATGCGTCCCTCACCCTGGAAGATACTTTCACATACGCGTTTTATTCCAGGCGTGTGGGCACCGCTAGGCATCGAGCCTTATTTTCACGAAGGAAAAAGCGGGGAGGATACCTGTTTCTGTGATTTTAGCGATACTGTTAGAAAATTAAGTTGTGTCTGAATGATCTTTATTGAAAAACTGGGACAAAATTGGCTGAATTCCTTACATTTTCCAACTAGTATTTTGTTTTTGAAATCAAACCACTGTACTGTCCATTTTCGCATTTTTCTTAAACCAGGTACCAGTAGTTATAATTGGACCATATAGAAATGCTCCATTTTCACACTGGCCGTGCGGGTTATTTGATTCACGTGATGGTTCTGGTATTTCTTGTGTGGGAACAGTGGGGAAACTCAGTGTTTCAGGTCAGACTTGCAAGTGAGGTTGGGGCCTACTCTCCTTTCAGACTTGCTTTCTGCAAATGAGTGTCCCTTTCCCCTCTGGGCCTCAGTTTTGGGGCTGTGACTTCAAGATGCCTGGCCAGGGTCACCTCATACCTGCTGATATGACCAGTACATTCCATCACTTGCAGGGTGCTTCGGGAAAGGTCTATGGGTGCCCAGCTGCAGTCATGCTTTGATTCCACACAAATGTGTGTGTGTGTGAGAGCAGATGCCTGTGCTCAGAAACTGCAGCGTTGTGGGGAGTTGTTGAGAACATCTGAGACCAGGGAGTTTCGGGACGGTCGAGCTCCCATACATGTGCATGGTGCACACACAGACTCCCAATGCTCAGTCACACACGCACACACACACACAGTCCCACACACACGCTCACACATGCATGCATGAAGAGTTTATGGCAAACCTTTGCATAATGCACTTCAGCTTCTTCCTAGCTGTTGACAGAGCCTCATACATAATGCAGCCAAGCAGGGCGAGAGGGCTTCGCTCTGCGTGGGGTGGTGATGGTGACACGCACCACAGGGGTTCACGTTTTTTCATCTGCAAACAGCCAGGGTCTTGTGTAGGTACATCTTCCTCCCTTCACTGGTACATCAGCTGGGGTGTATTGTGTCTGGTGTGTGTTATCCACTTGCTGTAAATGATGAGAGTGGCTTTCATCCTGTTTATTAAAATTGACTTAGTCTCAGGGTTCAACAGTTATCTTTCGCCCTGAAGTTCACACCAAGCTTCCCCTATAAATACACACTGTAAAACTGTGAAAACCAGGACAGGAGACTGAAAACAGAGCCATAAACAGGAGCTGTCACTTAGAATGTGCGTATGTGTGTTTATTATGAACACATGCAAACGCGCCGTGAGGCCACAGCGGAGTGAAGCAGGTATCCACAGGTTTGCGATTTCGGAGAAGAGCCCCTGCCCCCAAATCCTCCACGTTCTCACTTCTCCCAGAAGGACCTTCAAAAGGGGGAGCATCCTTTATTTCATAATTCTGGATTATAAGCCATTAATACAAAAATACCCAGATTCCTATTCATTGATAAGGAAAGTAAGATAAGACACCATAGCAGAAAAATGGTCAAAAGTCTTGAATAGGCAGCATTTTACACAGGAAGGAAACCCTAATGACCAGTGAACATAGGAGAACAGGTTCAGGCTCATTAGCACCAGGGAAATGCAAATGACATAACAGTGAGATTCCCTTACACACCCGCCTGACCAGCGGCAGAGGAAAAGTGATGTACGATGTGCTGGTGAGGACATGGAAGCATGGAACTTTCTGGGCTGCTGGTGCCATTGAGGCAGAATCAGCTTGCCCTCCGCATGTGGTAATGGGATGTGAGTGGCTCCGGAGACGTGCACTCAGTTTCCAGCAGTTTCCATGCACCGACACATCCAGAGCAGCGTTTGTACAACAACCAGATCTGGGAAGTGGATGTGCATCCGTGGTACCTGACTGGATGGGCCACGTGGCCCACCTGGTCTATACACACACGTGGCTCCCCCGGGGTCCTGAGAGGAAGCACCAGAGCGCAGAATGCAGGAGTCCACTCAAGATTCAAAACCAGACAAAACTCAGCTCTTGCACTTGCAGAAATGTGTTTGGGTAGAAAGCCACAAGGACACTGAGGCAGGGGTTACAGTGGGATCAGGACAGGGTTGCAGGCGGGGAGAGGGGCCCTGACCAGAGACCAGGCTGGACGTGGTGACTCCTTCTGCCCTGGACGCTGTTTCTCTGGATCTTTAACGACAGTGTACCATGCTGTATGTCTATGTTCTTTATGTGTGAGTGCAGTATTCCACAGATTTAAGGAGATTTAAAAAGTTCAAGATGCAAATATCATTGGAGAAAGTAATACACAGACTTAAATCCTCCCTAGAGTCATGCATCTGTGATGTCATTCCCCGAGGGTTTTGGTGCAGAGAAAGGGGTGGATGTGTAGGACCTGAGGGGCTGGGTGAGAAAAGCTGCACCCGGGCTGGAGGGCAGGGTGGGGTGGAAGAGGCGCACGTGAGGATTTGGGCACGGCCAGCATTAGTGTTGGGCATCCGTGGCGTTCCGGGAGTGGAGGCGGCAGCTGTGCTTGCTCACGGGGACCCAGCAGGCGCCGGGGTCACAGCAACCTGATCAGAAGTTGTGTCGCCTTCCCTTTACAGGTGAGGACTCTACCTGGGGCTTCTGTGCTCGAAAGCGATAGACCTGGGATTTAGAACTCTGTCTTTTGTCTCTAGAGCCCACATTTTCTGCCAAATCCGATAATGGAAATTCGCGGGCCTTGCAGTCTTTACTTAGCCTACGTAGAGCTCTAGGTTCGAGGTCTGTGAGCACGTGGTAGATTTTTCCAGGCCTCGGCATAGTGCCAAGAGGACTGGGAGCCACGTGCTGCTCCCCACCCACCACACTGACTCCACGGGGCTTTTGGAAACCCACCGTCTGCTGTCATCAGCGGTAATCAAGGCTGGTCCTTTGGGGTGTGTGCTGCACTCAGGTTTTCGCAGCGAGTGAGTGGTCGGCTTCGTCTTCCTAGCCAGGCCCCTGAGTGAGTGGCGCTCAGGCTGGCAGAGGCAGAGGCTTCAGTGCAGGGGCACTTTTGGGGGTGGCAGGTCCTGCCTGCCCACCCCTGTTGACCCCCGCTTCCCGACGGCTGAATGATGGAATGTGGTGATCCCTAACGCACTGATAAGATTCTGCTATGGTAAATCATGGGGTAAGTGACCCGTGAACCTAGTGCTCATGGTGAACATCCACGCTACCATTCTCCCAAGGAATCCACCCATCGTTTGTTGCTAATTCGTTTGTTGTGGAGCGTTTGCCAGGCAGGGCGCACATGGTCTGTCGAGGGCTCTGCAGCCACACGCGTCATGGGCTGGGCGAGTCAAGTGGGAGCTGCAGGCACTCGGCGGGGGGGGGGGGGGTTGGGGGGGTAACTCGCTGCCCGAGGACGTGGACAGGTGACGGGGAGACAGTTCTAGAAAAGAGGAACACGTTGGCCTGACATAAAGAGGGGGCAAAACGGTCTTGTTCACAGCATTTATTCTTGAGAGTCCCTACTCCTTGCTGGGCCTGTTCCAAGGCGGGCATGGGAGGGGTGCGTGCAGGATGGGAGGAGCACTCTCCCTTCCTGGATTAGGGAGAGCCTGTGTGTCGATGGCAGACAGCACATGGCCTTGAGAAATATTTGGGACCAAAAAGCTGCTCTTTGAGCTGCATCCAGATGCACTCCAGGCCTTGCCCTGCTGAAAGCAGGTGTTTCTTGCTCATGGCTTGCAGATTTATATGCTCACCGAGCCCTGTTGACTTAGACCCCTGGGTTTGCAGATGGGTTTGTGCTTGGGGTCTTCTCCTGCTTGGGAGATGCTCAGGGGATGAAGGAAATGACAGGGAGCCCACCGAGCATTGCCCCCACCCCCTGCCGTCCTCCACGCTGGGGAAGAGCCAGGTCAACG